CATTTGAATTTGGCAAGGAGGCAGAAAAAAGTGGAATGACTCTGATGTTGCTTTGATCAGATACCCGAACAAACAGATTTCCATTTTCAGTGTATCCAGTAACTCGTTTAAGCACTTTTACAACGTCTGGGTTTGTCCACACTTCACCGCCTTGCCACTTAAGGCGTCTCTCACTGAGGGTTCCCTTGCAGAATTTTTCAATTGTGGTCTTGTGCACTATTTTATTGAGACCCCTTGCTTTTCCAAGGAAGAAGTGGGTGAAAATCCTGCCTTTTCTGGAGGAAGCAGATTTAATCTCAGAGTATCTTTGAAGTGCTTTTATTGCATTCATGACAATGTCACTTCTTGTATTGGAGGGCTCTTTGCCCATAGAGTCCTCTGGCCAAAATAAGATTGAAAGAAGCAAATATGCAGTATCTGGTAAAGCAGTTCTCTTTTCACTGCAAAACCGTCTGCTGATATTTTGAAGTTCTTCAATAGAATGAAGTTTTCCAGAGCCAGGTGAAGCACATGAGAGTGCTATCTGACAGAAGATGAAGTTTATAAGCCCTGTTTGGTCGAGATCCTTTTTCAGGTTAACTGGAAATAGGTCAATTATTTTCTCAAGCTTTGCTCCAGCTCTTTGTTTATTATTATCAGAGAGCAGGTAAAGAATTGTTGTAAAATTGCCACCTCCAAGTTGGAAAATTTTCATTTGTCTCATAAATGGAGAAACTGTGTTTGCATCAGAAGCCTCATCCTTTTGAATGTCGTGAAAAAATAACTTGGCATACACAGCACTTTTCCTGAGGAGCCATTTTCTTGGATTATTGACTGTTTCAGGCTCTCCTTCATCCAACTCCTCCTCTTCCTCAGAAGTGAAATTCTGAAAGCGAGCAAGATCCTCAGAAACACATTCCAGGGCAATTCTGATGCTGTTTTTCATTCCTTTTAAAAGGCCATGAAACCTTTGCCAAGGTTTCTGTACTTCCTCTGGTATGTAGTCAGTGAGCAAGTAATCCGTCAACTCCCTATTTCCCTCTTTGGTAGAAAAAATGTCTACATTTGACAGGAGCTCAAGCAATCGGCATCCAATATCAACTTCTCCAAAATAAGAATTATTCAAGCAGACGGTCTGTGACTGGGGGCATTTTTCAGATTCTCTAAAAGTAGTGATTCCTTTAAGAGCAGTATCAATGATATCAGTGATGTCCTCTGGTTGAATATCAGCATTTCTCTCACATATGGCGTCATGTTTGCTGTAGAACCACTTTTTGTATACTTGTCCCAGTGTGTCAAGTATGTATGTGTGCTGTGGAAGACGAGACTTGGCTCTTTTAGCCCAAATCTCAGCTTCCTCAAAATGTCTGTTTTCATAAAGCAGCCGTGCAAGCTGTTGAGCAACAAATGCATCCTCATCAAAACGAGTGTAAGCTACATTTAAAAGGTCAATGGCTTTCTCTAGATCTTCTGTCTCCCTAACATGCTCTATTAAAGGAGAAAACCAGCTGTCATTTGGATCTCCCTTGCTTTTTTTGGTGCGTTTGATAAACAGATCTCTGACAAACTTTCGCAAGTCATCCCTTCCAAATCTGTGGTCAAACAGCACTTTGTCCTGAAGCAGACTCATTGCTATTTCACTTTGACTCTGATAACTGGAGAGCTGCTTCAGGATCTCCTTAGATATCAAATGATGAATTATTCTCACAGAGTCAATATGTGTCTCACTGGATTTTAGCTGTATGAAAAAAAACCTAGCCTGTTCATTTAAGGAATTTTCGAATGTCTGGTGTCGAACTTCATCAATCCATGTGGACGTTGATGGATTGGCCATTTTATCAAATTTGTCCAGGTTAAATTCTAAACCTAGGAATGCCTCACAGTGGGATACAGACAGGTATGAATTCTCAATGTGGCTGTTCATCAGTGCCACAAATTTAATCAACTGTGTCTGAAGAGATGAATGATCAATTTCCTTCAGCAGATTTTCAACAAAAAACCTGATGTAAGACTGTTCAAACTCTTCACTCATGAGCACAAAAGTGAGTATAAACTCTGGTTCAAACTTCAACTTGAGACTCTCTGCTTTCTTTGAGAAGAGCTTCTTTTCTGCTGGAGATAGTTTGTGTGTAACTCCGACTGTGCGTAACGGCAATGTTTTGCACATCCTTTCTGGATCAAGAGACCGTTTACAACAGAGAATGATGAAACACAGTTTTGAAGGACTTATTTTCATTGTTGTGACTGCATTGCTTAATTCTCGTCTGAGGTCATCCTGATAGTCTGCATTGCAATCCTCTAGCAGCAGAAGAACAGGTAAACAGGCATTCTTGTCAACCTCTTTGAAATTCCAAAGTTTTACGGCATGTTCACAGACAGTCATGGCCTGCTTCGATTGCCTAACAACAGCACATCGCATTTTTTTCCTCCAGTTCCAGAGGATCTGTCGAGCGACTGTACTTCCTCCACTACCAGGTTGGTGATATATGTTGATATTTTCAATGGACCGTTTTAATGAGTCACTATGCTCAAGGTCTTCCAACATTTTGTTAATTTCTGCATATGCATCACGTTTGATGACTTCCCCACACTGATTTCTGTCAGCCAGCCACAAATTCATCCAGTCAATTTTTCCTCCTTTATAGAAGTACTGTTCAGTGTCCTGTATTTTCTCTTGCTCCATGACATTTACATTTGTTTCATCACATTGGTTAACATGGACTACTTCTAAGGAGTCCATATGCTGCACATCCGCAGACATTATAAAGCATACTCCATTGTTTGACACAGGTAGACACCCATCCTGATGACTGGTGAGCTGAATGCTTTGAACTGTAGCATCTACATGACTCATTGGCATACCAACAACACTGATTTGTTCAAGAATGTCTAGTGAGCAGGACACTTGGGCAAAGCTTGACCATTTCTTATAATTCTCCCTTGACTCTGAGATGACGACGATGTCCTCATGGCCGCTCATTTCTGCATAGAATTCATTGAAGGTGTCAGCAAGAGGCTGTTCAACATCAGACATGAGAATGAAAAGCACCACAAATGATCCTTTGGGAAGAATTTCATTGCAGATAACAGATACAGCTCTTTTCAACAGTTTCTTCTTGGTTTTGATCCAGGTTTTTTCATCACATGGACTCTCACCTCCAATGTAATCACTTCGACCATTGCAGAAAATCCAGCTTGTTCTGTCAAAGAGCTGTAACTTCTTGATAAAGTCAACAGTGTTCTCCCTATGATCATAATCATGCAGGAAGTGAAGGTTTACTGCATGGTGCTCTTTGTAATTGTGACAAAGTCCAGATGATTTGGAGTCAGGATCATAATCACAAACACAAAAGATATTCATTTGAGTGAGGAACTTGATGTTTTGCAGGTTTTCTTGATCAAATCTGTTTGACACAAGAATGTAACGCAATGTATTGTCCATGTATTTCTTCCCACGTGTCAGAAGAACTAAGAGTTTTCTTTCCAAGTCCTCTTTAAAATGAGCCTGTGTTTGATTCTGGTTGTTTTCTTCCTGTTCTCTCTTTTGGTCAAGATCTTTGAGAGCTTGAATGAAACTGACAAGTTCATCCTCTTTAACACGTGGTGTATTAGGTCCAACTCTTTGATAATAAGCTTTTTGCTCATATTCAACTTTATTGGTTTTCTCGTTGAACTTTGGTATACGGGCACCATACAGTTGATCCCTCACAATGTTCACCATGGGAACTACATCCACTTCCACAATCCAGGTTTGGGTCTGACTGTCTTTGTCAATTACTGGTATGAATTTTGGGGGTTTGATACACTTTCTGGCATCAGAGTGCTGTGATGGAAAACAATTTTCAATGTAGTCTAAAGCATCTTCAAAGACCTCTTTATCTTCAATGGCAATTCCAATTATCTCTCCATGTTTGTATGATGTTTTTGTCTTGTCCATGACACCAAAGTGGATTGTGCCATTTGCACGCATATTCATGCATGCACATGCAAATCGAATGACTTCACTGGCAAATTTGATCTTTAGCTTTCTTGGTTCTAATTTACAGGCATTTTCCAGTGATTTATACTCATGGCATGGGGTGATCAGATTGTCTATTCCTGTCTCTGGTGGGAGTATGGCATGTTTTATGTAACTGAAGTGTTCATCGTTATTAAATTTCCGATACCTACTCTGTGGCAAAGACACAGATGTTTCAGGTAAATCACTTGATAATAAGGGTTGTTCAGGACTTGTGACATCACTGAAAGACACAACTTCATGTTTTGCTTCTTCTCTGTTTTCTCCTTTCTTTTTAATGGTTTTTGACTTGTCCGGTAACAGTTCATCTCTTTTACTCAGCAAGAGCTGAATTTGGCCACCTCCCAGACAAAGTGTTTTTAAGTATGATTCATTAATATTTAGAAGAACAGGTCCTGTTACCTCTTCTTCCTTAAGTTTCTGTATGTGCTCTGGTTTAATCCCAATGGCCTTTAACCATGAGCTGACGTGCACTTCATTCCAGTCTGAACCTGGTATAGAATTGTAGTCTAGAAAGAGCAAAGTATAAGCAATTTATATAATGGGCCTAAAAATACCACATAAGTTGAGACAAATAATTATGTCTTATTTACAGTATGAATTCAAAGAATGCGCACATCCTAATATCACTTAAACAGGTGCTCGATCAAGAGAACGTTTATCTGAAATGCAAAAAGACGGGCACACTGCTATTTTTGCACCCCAATAATTTAGTGAATTGCAAAATTTTTACCACAAGTGGTCTTTGTCAGGCGTAGCCTATTTACGATGTGCATAAATTCAATTTCTGAAAGCGTCTGTCTCTAAATTAAGTTAATAATCTTCATAAATTATGTATGAGATCTCATACATCGTTCTCAGCAGACAAATGAACATGCAATCTGTTATAAATGCTATTTAAAATAACAATATTACATTGTACACTAAACCAAAACTACAGAATATGCTCTATGGTTCTAAATTCATAAGAATTAACTTATTTACGAATTTCTTAATACTCACCCATTCTGTGAGAAATATTCAAGGAGATTATTTCAACGTTTTTGTGCCATCAATTCTAAAACAAAGAAAAATAATCTATTCATCTCATATGTATTTGAATGGTTTTACACAATTTAAAAACATGTATAGTTTGATCAAACTGTGAACATCACTACATGTAGAATTTATATTTCGTGTATCTTCTGTGTTCTAATCAAGTGATTCAAATATTGACATTAGCAAAGAGGACAGAGTCCAATATAAATGGTCAGCCTGCTGTAAAAGGGATAGTTCACCCAAAGTAAACTGAATAAATGGAGCAAATTTAAAGTTGAATGTTGTAAAGTACCTTGAACAGAAAGAAAGTAGAAGATAATTGTTTTATATCACAACACAGGGAATAAACCTAAAATATTGTTTGCTTTAAACGGCATTAGTTATGAAAGGTGTGTCTATAGCATGTGACTGAGCAAAGTACAGTTTTCTGTTACCTGAGGGTGTGTACTGAGCGGAAACAAAATGTTCATAGAAAACAACAACTTTGATCAATTGTGTACATAGAATGTCACAATATGACTTGATGTAGATCTTGCTTCCTAAAGTGTAACACATCACTAATGTGTATGGAGGAAATGGTAACGAACATTTCCTATTGTTCTTATGTTCTGGTCATAACTGTCAGATACAAAATCAATGTCTCATTTAAGAACAAAACTGAATACGAAGAAAACCCAAACTGTCATAATTGCTTAGGTAGAAATTTTTTTCAGTGATTCAGTAGACATATTTGACCGAGACAAAAGATTTTCAAAAGGAACAAAAGATTTACATTTCAGTTTCAACCAGTAGAAGCAATAACCTGCTTTTTCAAAAACATTTTTCAATTATATATTCCTTTAAAAAAACAAAATAAAACAAATCTAAAATTATAATAGTGACTATAGTGACAAATTCATAAATCCATAACACCATAATCCAAAATCCATAATCATTCTCTAAAAATATTTGGCTAGTTTACTAAAGAAAAATGTGAAAACAACACACTCACATATACAAACTTGCAAATGACTGAACACATCCACACACTGTTCTGCAGCTCTGCAAGTGGATATGTCCCACACACAGGTATATACAAATGTACACTCTAAACTCAACCCAGGGGCGGGTATTAACTAAGGTGAAGCAATTAAACACATGAACAGGCTTCATCATTTCTAGCTGCTTGCATTTCATTTAGTTTTTTTTGCACTTTTTTTTTTTTACTTGAACCAAAATTTACATCTAAAAACAGAAAAAGAAAGGAAATAAATAACCAAATGTTAATATTGTCATTTTTTCGGTTAGCCATGGAAAATTATTTTCTGAACTTTCAAAAAATTTTCATACTTTAAAATTTTTTTATTTAATACCTTTATTTTACTTTTATTTGTTAACTTCAGAAATTATTAGCTAGAAAAAAATGACATCTAACCAATTTTCCTTTTTTTTTTTTTTTGCAAATTGTGCTGTGGGATTCATTGGCATCGGGTGGTAAGTATAAAAGTGACGTGACATGTGGCCAAGTATGGTGACCCATACTAGGAATTAGTGCTCTGCAATTAACCCATCCAAAGTGCACACACACAGCAGTGAACACACACAAACCGTGAACACACACCCAGAGCAGTGGGCAGCCATTTATGCTGCGGCGCCCGGGGAGCAGTTGGGGGTTCGGTGCCTTGCTCAAGGGCACCTCAGTCGTGGTATTGAAGGTGGGAGAGAGCGCTGTACATTCACTCCCCCCACCTACAATCCCTGCCGGTACGAGACTCAAACCC